ATCTTTTCTTTTTTTATTTCTCTTTCTTTCTTCTCTCTTTCTTTCCTTTTTTTCGGTGTACTTACACATTGGCTGAATGCCAATTTATAGGGGAGAAATAGGAAATGGGTGATGCTACATAGCCACCCTCCATTACAACATGATTTACAACCATGTGTAATGGAGGCATTGAAAAAAGTGCATTATTGCATTTTTTAATGCCTCCATTACACATAGTTGTAAACCATGTAGTAATGGAGGGTGGCAAAGTAGCAAAATCCATAGGAAATAAGGCCTGGCCATATAACACATACATACACAATTATTACACCAAATGATGCCTGAATTGGTGGCCATATGCACGTGCGATGCACGTGGCGACGATTTTTTTTTTTTTGGTCGATTAAGTTTAATAAGATTAATTAACAAAATAAATGTTGAACAAACTCGCAATGTGTTTTATTTTAATAACATATTGATGTTGTAACATAAAAAAATTTAAATAACATATTACAACCTCAACAAAAACTCGTTGAAGGTAATACATCAATAGTATTGCAAAATTCTTCTTAAATAATTTGACAAAATGTCTGCTTTATTCAACAATTAGAAATATTTTAGCCTAACATATAGTCAACTTCATGATTGTATGATCATTATAAAGTATTACTACTAACAGTTTATAAATATCTATTTGAAATAACAAACAGTTTCATTAAAATTATTGATATTTTTTAATCATTGTATAAACTACTACATTACTCTCTCTCTCTCTCTCTCTCTCTCTCTCTCTCTCTCTCTCTCTCTCTCTCTCTCTCTCTCTCTCTCTCCAAATCAACAAATTAGTACATACCAAATGGGGTGAGAACGAATTTCATCTTCAAATATTCCAAAATCATGTACTCCAAAGGCGCTAAATTATTTTTTGAAATCATCACATTACAAGATGGTGAATATTCCAATATCATGTACTCTAAAGTAATTGCGCATATGTTCGAGCACAATTAAGATGGTGAATATTCCTATAAAAAAGTGACAACTTATTCAAACATTAAAAAATATTTTAATTAGAATCAAATATTCCGTTTTCATGTTATCTATTTGAAAGATACACGAAATACATAACCTATTATTTACAAATCATTGAATATTTTGATTGTTGCAATGATTTTAGAGTTGTTTATCATAATACTTTCATATTCGTTCGAATTTGAAATATTTATTTCTAATAGCTTATTTAATTTATTTATTGTCCATCTTTTCATACATAATTCTTTGAAAACTCAGGATAAAGATCCTTTCTTAATTGTTCAATAATAATAATAGTAATAACAAAAAAAAAAAAAAAAAGAAACAATGAGAAAATATTGATATTTCAGATGAGAAGGATTTCAATTTTATCATACTATAATACTCTTAGTCATCTGTGAACTTTATTATAATAAAGTCGTTATTAAAGTTTATGGTCTATATTATGATATATGGAATAATTATTTATGAGAACTAATTTCTTATATAAAACATATATTTAAATGCTAAAAACAAAAAAATTAGTAATTTTAAAATATTTTTTTTTTTTGATATTGGGTTTCATACTTTTCAAAGAAAAACAAAACTTTTTCTTTTCCTCGTTGCATTATTATTGTTTTATTTGTTTTTTATTTCATTCACAAATAATATTTTATTTGTTGAAAGAATTAGAGCACATTTATATGCATTGTGTTTTTCTTTTACGTGTTTGATAGTAATAATATATTTGATAATAATTTACATTTTAATTGTTTATAAGATTAAAAGGTTTTGGAATTTTATTTTCATTGTTTGATGAATTATTAAGTAACTAAGTCATTTTCATATTCTAAAAAAATATATTTTACATCTTTTATGGTGTTCCCCTTCAAGCAGTAATTGAATAATAATTTAAATACAACTCATTTATTTTTTTTCTTTTAATTCGCATAGTTAATATTGATAATAGTTGTATGTTTACATCCATTTTCCATCTTTTCTTAGTATAAATATTTCAAGTCTATATAAGAAAAATATACCTCAAGTTTATCTAATATTATTTTATACTTAATAAAACTGAGTTAACATGGATTTATAATTTATTTTATAAGATACTTTTAGGTCCATTTATTGTCTTAAATTGGTATTGATATATATATATATATATATATATATATATATATATTATTTTATATCGAAAGAAATAATTATATTATTTTTATTTTTTCACAATACATTAGTCATATCAAACATCATTGAAAAGAAATGATGTGATATATTACATATAAAAGGGTAATAAATAAAAATATATTAATTATTTTAAAATTGATAAATTTAATAATAAAAAGTAAATAAATTTTTAACTAAAAAAATGAATACTAACATAATGATTTATGATACAAAAAAATATATATTTTGTTATAAATGTGCATCTTATGTATGTTTTATTGTTTTACATTTATCATTCGTCAACTCCAATTGATATAGGAGATTTATTAATTTTTTCTTTCTTTTTTTTTTTTTTTTTTTTTTTTTTTTTTTTTTACTTTTGGATGGAATGCTAGCTATAAAGTTTCTCATTGTGTAGTCTTGCCTTTTTATTACGTAGAACATCGTTCTTACCACTTGTTTAGTTATTATAATACTAATACAATAATTAAAGAATTTTTAAACTAGGTGTATCTTTTATTTTTGGGAAAAAAGTACCAATTATCATAAATTCAGTGATAGTTACATTGAATGTGTTATATTTTATATCATTATCGACAATTCCCAAATATTTAACTGTACACAATATAATATATAATACAAAATGTTTTTGTTTGATTTGGAGTCATATTTTTACTGCTAAAAAAGGAAAATGATAAAATTCTAATGAAAAGTTTTACTGCAAAATTTCAACGACAATAGTAACGAATATTTCAATATTACTATTATAATTTGAATTTTTCGATGAAAATTCTAACGAAAATAATTTGTTGGAATCATGGGCAGATCCATGTTTATCCAACAGTACCGACACATGCATCATCTGAAAACATATAGCATAAGATATGAAACAAAATTAATGGAACAATTTTCATAATTATATCGTCATTATTTATCTAATTTAATGTTATCTTACTTTATATTGTTCTTTCATATATATATATATATTATTTCCAATTATAGTTGTACATCTTGATATTATATTTTATGTAATTACAATTCTCATTTATATTATACTCATTGTATAAAAAATTATTCCATACTTTTTTTAATTAAAAAAAAAGTTGCTTTATTATAATACATATTAATAGATAGATACCTTCTTGGTATAAATAATTAATTTTCAATGTATATAGGCATATCATGATTTTTATGTATTTTTAATTAACTTGACTATTATGATACAAATAACTATTGGTTGTCACCTAAAACTTACACCTAATTAATAAGAACAAAAAATTAACAAGCGTTTATATCAATGAAATATCTGTTGGAATACCTTACTGTTAGATTTTTTATTATAATACGGAATTTTGAACTCTTTCTTAAACACCAAAATTTGAATTTTTTTAATTATATTTTTCTAAAAATATAAAGAGAACAGGAGTTTTCAAGAGTTTGTGGGGAAGAAGGAATACTATATCATATCAACTTGTAAGTGTATTTTAATTAACAATTAATTACATAGTAAGTGTGTTTGTAATTAATCTATTAAAAAAAGAATCGGGGTGGGGTTTTAAAAATTGTAGAAAAGAGATAATTATTTATTACCAATTTGCCATTAAAAATATGTCAAATTAAGCGGTTTTTAGGCAACTCATATTTTTACAAAAACACTCGTCCTTTTAGAGTAGTATAGATAGATTACTCAATTACTTAATTTTTGATTTAGATAGTTTATACAAAAATAAATTCATTTTAATTAATGAAACAATATAAAGTTTATAATAATACTTATTATTCACATATATTTATAAATAGAGGATAAAATTTTGCAAAAATGATTATTTTGTGAAATCACATTGTAGTCAAATTGAATTTTTGAATAAAAATTTTAAAATGACACTTATTTCGAAATGAATACAATGTTATTTATTATCAGTCACATGCACTGTAGCGGATTGTGTACTAATTTTTGATCTAGACATATTTTATGTAATTTTTCACAATTTAAATTTCACATAACATTTTTGATAAATCAATATAGATACATTGTATTACATATTGCTTCTATATCTTTTATTTATAAAATTATTTAATGAATATTTTTAATTTATAATCAATGAATATCTCTTGCCCGTGCATCGCACGGGATTCATACTAGTAAACTATTATATGACATTAAAATAGAAATACAACATTAATAATAATATTCACTTTTAATGTTATTTTGATGTATCATTGTAAACTTATTTTAAACTATTATATAGCACATATAAAATAAAAGAACAAAATTTATAATAATATTCTTTTAATTGTTATTTTAAATTAAACGATATTCACTCACCAACTTAATTTAATTGTACTATCATTTGACTTTGAAGGAGAAAAAAAAAATAAAAAAAAAAATAAAAAAATCAAGCCCTTCGTAAAGGGAAAGATGACCACATAAAAATATGAAATTAGTGGATAAAATGAAATGACACACTTGCCAATTCTAAGTACATCAATTTACAAAACAAATTGAAATTGACAGTAATTTTCATCTCAAAATGTATAATGAAAACCCATACATGCTTGTAATATAAGTAGCATATGTTTGAAAGTGAAATTGAAATTGACAGTAATTTACAAAACAAATTGTATAATGAAAACCCATACATGCTTGTAATATAAGTAGCATATGTTTGAAAGTTCCAATGAGATGGCCCAATAAGGTACTATTGCAACCAACCTATTATCCTCTGCCTCCTTGCCTTTTGTTGCAAGATGAGAGACTTTGATACTCACTACTCACTATTCCAATCCAAAATCCTTAAAAAGCTTCTTATTTACAGTTGTGATCATTTTTCCTTATCAATCCTCTAAGGATAAGCAACAGTTGGATTGGCCACGAAATACCCAAGCACGCCTACAAACGGCGCATTGATATAAGTCGTAGGCTCGGATTTCCTGAAATCCTCCCTGCTGTCCTCGTACTCATCATCCTCTCCGGGCCCACCCACCACTGCCCCGACCAGAACATTCGGGTTAGGCCCCGACGAGTTGAAATAAACGGCCCCATCCTTGCACCCCACGTAACCAGGATGGTCCTTGATCGAAGGTATTGAGGAGCCACGGTGATGAATCCTCTGAGGGTACACGTTGCTGTACCCGACTAAATACGACATTCCCTTGGGATTTTCACCTAAAATGTAATTCACCTGCCTTTGGGCTATTGTCCTCAGCTTCGAGGGGCTAACTAACATTTCTCCACAGTTGATGCTTTGGAATGATCGTTCCAAGTAATTTGCGTACGCGAGTAATAAGAATGAGATGGTGGTGGCGTGCTGTAAATTGCTGCCACCTGGCCGGTAAATGAGGCCGCCGGGAGAGTACTGCACGTGGGATGATGTGGACTCGGGTATGAGTGTGCACATGAAGCTGTCGGCCGATGCCCTGTATGACTCGAGGGAGTACATGTTCTTCTCTAGGACCTCCTGCAGTAAATGTCGAAAAAAATCAAAATTTCCAGACTGGCTGTCTTCTTGTGGTTGGATCTCCAAGTTTTTGGAATGCTCCAAACTCTACTTGAGCATCCAAATCTGGGTAAGTTATGGTTATCATATAAATAAAGGCTAAATTGCATTTTCAATTATACTTGTTTAACGCCATAACATTTTCAGTAGATTTTAACATTTTGTCTTTTGGTCCTGTGATTTAATATTTTGCTGTAATTTCTTTTTTTTTAGGGCTGAAATTGCAACTGATTTCTAAATTTATACATTTTTTATCAGCAATTTAAGTCCTATAATTGTAAATTTTGTTGCAATTTCAGTCCTGTTTGTTTAAAATTTTGTTGCACTTCCAATCATTTGAGAACTGAAATTGCAGCAAAATATTAAATTATAGGACCAAAAGGCAAAAAGTTAGAACCTTGGGTACTAAAATTTGTTATGGTGTTAAAGTAATAGGACTAAAAATGCATTTTTGCGTTGTATAAATTTGTTGCTTATGTTGATCGATCGTAACCTTTGCAACGAGCACGTTAAGGCCGGCATGCTTGTTGTCCCATCCGAATTCGTTAATGTTGTCTTCGGCGCCTAGCGTTTTACCATTGTCTTGCAAGTAGACAAGGTAAGAATTGTTCTGTGTAGCCCTCCTCAGCCATGCTGCTCCCCACAGCAATTCATCCTTGTCAATTATACATATATATATATACAAAAAGAAAAAAAAAAAGAAAAAAAAAATATAATAATTCAATAATACTAAACAACTTTTGGTATTTGTTAATATATAAGATAATACACAAGTTTTTACCTGATATCCATCAAAATCACAGTAAAATGGACATGCCCCATCTCTCACGTTTGGATTATCACTATAAGCGCCTCGATAACTATCCGCGAACTGAAAAGCTCGGGTGGATGCTCTTAACAAGGTCTCGGCATAGCTAGGATCGGACGATCTAAAAGCAATTGAGGACGCAGCTAAGGCTGCAGCCGTCTCCCCTGCAACATCGGAGGCCGGATTTGGGGCATCGACTGTGTACACTGTCCTAATCGTGTCCATATCTTCGGGCCTTTCCCAACAATTATGGTCCGCAATCGGGTCCCCTACCTGAAAATATTGCTCAAAATATTCATTATTTCAAAATATATGTCAAAATGTTCATTCATCTTTATGCATTTTCTATTAACAACAATTGGACTCTCTTGTGCTACACTTCATTGTGTTGAAGGGCAACAATTACAAGCATGACACGGTTACTTACACGACACAAAACACAACACAAACACATTTTCGATTGTGTTTGTGTTCTTATCATATCCATCTAATAAAAAAAATATACATTTTGTATTGTGTTTATGCCATGTTCATGTTAATAAAGACCCATACTTATATATTAATGTCATTTTTGGTGTAATAACTAATAACACATCAAATTGTACTATCTTGTAATATCATGTTGAGTAGTATAACGTCTCACTTAGGGCTGCAAACAAGTTGAGAGTCGAGCATTGGCCTAATTAATCGAACAGGTAGATTTTTTTTTTAGCTGCTCGAGCTCGACTCGAATTCAAAATCCTCGAGCTCGGCTCGAAGTTTTTTAAATGAAAATGTAAAATTACAATGAAACACCTATGCTAATATATATATAAAGAGTATTTTAGTAATTTAACATATATCTCGAAACGAAAGTAATAGGGATGTCTATATATCAGTTTTGCTATAAAGCCAACAGTTTGGCTTCATAGTGGAGCCTACCTTCTATATACAACAAGTAAACTTACCATATTCTCTAATTAAGTAAATAACACTAATATAATTTTATTCATATGATATGATTTACCTGTTGTATATAGAAGGTTGGCTCCACTATGGAGTGGCTTCGTAGCAAAACCGATTTATATATAATATACACAGAGACAAGACAGTATGATGGTTCTATTTCCTAAAAAGGACCCCCTCTTGAATTGAAAGGTATCACAAGATTTTTGGCCAGTTAGCTGAAAACAAGGGTGAAGGTAGGCAGTTAATTAAAATATAATATTTGATAATAATAATAATAATAATAATAATAATAATAATAATAATAATAATAATAATAATAATAATAATAACAATAAATAATAATAATAAGGTGGAGAGATGCTGAAATCCTTATATAAAGTCGTCAATCATGAGACACTCAACAGTATTCTATTGCATGGTGGTAGAGTTGGCAGAATAATCAAATCACAGTGAATATACTCCCTCCTATTCATTATAAATGTCGTTTTGACTTTTGTGATTCATCTATTTTATTATGTATCTAGACATATTAATGTCTAGATACATAATAAAATAGATGAATCACAAAAGTCAAAACGACATTTATAATGAACAAGAGGTAGTATAACATTTGTTGGAACACAGCAAATGAAATAAAAGCAACGTTTTTCGAAGCCCCTGTCGATGTTTCACCAACCTACTTGATTTCCATTGATTAATAGTCTATTACTAGTACAACGCCCGCGTATTACACGAGTGCTTGATAAAATATTTTTTTAAAATTTATAATTAATGAGAAAAAGTAGTTGAAATTTAAATATTATATATATATATTATATTTTAATATATCACTTGTTACTTGTGCGACTTACATGTGTTATATTATAATAATTTTTCTAATTTATAACATATAACTACATTAAACATGAACATATTCATTGACAAGTTTATTTTTTAATTATTTTTAATAAATATTATTTTATCATTTTAAAAATAAATACAGTTTATTTTATATATACAATATGGATGTCAAATCGAAGATCGTCAAAAGATGATTAATTTGATACATTATATATTTAAAACCGATAAGAAATACAAAAGTTATCAACTTTTAAAATACATTTACAATTCAATAGTTATAATAGGAAATGATATTAAAATACAATTAATACATCTAAAATGATCATAAATAAATCAACATATTTATAGTAATCCGAACCTAATTAGTTTTGGGTTGGAATTAAACTAAAATCTATCCAAGTCAAATAACAAAGCATAAAATTTTGACACATAGGTTTCCGAAGCATGCGAGTCTGCCACTTAAGCTCAGCACATTCGGGAATTATATATAGGAGGGATTACAAAAAAATGCTAAGCAGAATATTAATCATACGGTTTGCTACGAAGCAAACAGTTGGCTCCATAATGGAGCCAACCTTCTATATATACAACAAGTAAACCTACCATATTAATAAAATTGGTCCCTTTTAGATAATTTTTGAGTTAATTAAATGTGTCCTACTCTATACAGATCAAATAAAATTTTATACGTTACATGTGTATGTATGTAATATTCAATCTTATAAGCTAGACGATGAGCATTTCATATTTTATAGTTTATCATTAATAAGTTTGTAAATTAGTAAAAATAAATGATTTAAATATAAACTATTTAACTTACATGATAATTTTATATGATCCCAAGAAAACAATTTTTACAAGCCTGGCTAATTATGACCAATTAATTAGATAAGAAATATCGAAATCTGTCTATTAATATATAAAAGGGCAATGATATTTACTTGAAATAATAACTAAAAATCAGTGAAAAGATATTTGGTTTCCCGCCTAAAAAATCAGATTTACTAAATTGGGTAATTTTTCAAAATTTGAAAAATCTCGCCTACATTATATGTAATCAATATACAAAATTATTTTGGTCAAATATTGCGGCTATTACCTTTATTAGTTGCATGATTTAAATTTAGTATATAATATATTGGCAAAACTTGCTGCTATTATCTTTATTAGTTGCATGGTTTAAATTTGATATAAAATATATTGATAAAAATAAAAAAAAAAAATTATTTAAAATTAAAAATCAACAAAATAATTATTCGTAACTCGAGTCAATATTAACTTGGACATAAATAAAATAGTCAATTATTTATAGTTTAATAAATTACTCAACTACTTAATTTTTTTATTTGAATAGTTTAAAAAAAAATATTTTAATTTATGAAACAATAAAAATTTTATATTTATACTTATTATATATACATAGGTTGTTAAATATATGATAAAATTTTACCAAATTAACTATTTTTTGGAATCACATTGTAGTCAATTCAAATTTAGGATAAAAAATTTGAAATGACACTTATTTTGAAACGAATATAATGTAATATTATCATTTATGTGCACCACATGAATTGTGTACTAATTTTTAATAGAAATTTTTATGTAACTTTGCACAATTTAAATTTTATATAATATTTTCAATAAATTAATAAAGGTAAATTGTATTACATATTGATTTCATGTTTTTAATTTATAGATATTATCTAATAACAATTTTTAATTTATAAATATTAATGAATATTTCTTACTTGTGCACTGCACGAGACTCATACTAATTACTATAATAGAGAGAAAAAAAAATACAAAAACACTATGCAAGTTTCGCACTCATTTTTTCATTTTTTACCAATAAAATATTTTTTTTTTCAAATTTTTGGGAGAATCCCGCCCATGATTCTTATTCAAATGTTTTGATTTTTTTTTTTTTGAAAAAAAAAAAAAATTCAAACATTTGAAGGAAAGATTACAAACTGATTTTTTTGGGTACATGCCATTTTATCGTAACTTTCATATAAACAATGTCCTAACAACTAATTAATATAATATTTTTTTTATTCAAGTTATCTAATCGGCTATTTTAAGATATAATTAATATAATATTTTATTTAATTAATTAAATGATTATTTTTACGGATATAATTACGGAAATATTAATTATTTTAGAAAATTTTTAAAAATAAATTTGAATTATCATAACTTTTACTTTATATGAAATTCAAAATTACATATTTCTATATAATAATAAATGTTTATTATTTTTCCTTATGTGATATAATCTTAAAACATTTAAATAAAAAGATCCTAAAGAGATTTTTTTGGGTAAAATTCATTTTATATTGATTTTCATAAAATCACATTCCTAACAAACTAATTAATATTATATCTTTTATCTACATTATCTAACCGATTTTTTTATAATATAATTAATATAATATCTTAACTAATTAATCATTTATCTAACCTGATTTATCTCTCTAACAAACTTGCCAATTTTTTTTGAAATGAAAATGGTATGATTATTCATACGAAGATACTTGCCAATATATTAAACATTTAGAAACTTTAAAAAAAAATAAGCTATCCCTCCTTTTACTTTATTTGAAATTCTAAGTTATATTTTTAAATATGTTATTTTTTTGTTTTTCGTGTACATATTTATTATTTATTATCTAAGTGATAAATATTATTAATTTCTCTCTTTAATAAATGCTTATTATTTGTTTTTTTTTTCCATACCAAATATAATCTAAATTTGGTTATTAGATTTTTAAATTCAAACATTTAAAGGAAAAGGTCACAAAAAGATTTTTGGGTAAATTTTTTTTATCTTGATTTTCATATAATCACATTTCTAACGAACTAATTAATATTATATCTTTTATCTACATTATCTAACTGTTTTTTATGATATAATTAATATAATATCTTAATTAAATAATCATTTATCTAACTGGAATTATCTCTCTAACAAACTTGCCAATTTTTTTTGAAATTAAAAAATGGTATGATTATTTTTACGGAGATACTTACCAATATATTGAACATTAAGAAACTTTTTTAAAAAAATGAGTTATCCCTCCTTTTACTTTATTTGAAATTCTAAGTTATAGTTTTAAATATATTATATTTTATTTTTTTGTTACGTGTAAATGTTTATTATCTATTATCTAAATGATAAATATTATTGATTTATCTATTTATTAAGTGTTTATTATTTTCCGTACTGATATAATCTAAATTTGATTATTAGATTTTTAAATTCAAAAATTTAAAGGAAAAGATCAAAAGTAGATTTTTTGGGTAACATTTCATTTTATCTTAACTTTCATATAATCACATTTCTAGCAAACTTATTAGTATAATTACATTTATCTAACCGGAATTTTCAAAATATAATTATTATAATGTTTTACCTAATAAATCTTTTGTCTAACCGAATTTATCTCATTAACAAACTTGCCAAATTTTTTAATAAATTAAAATAGTAAGATTATTCTTACGGTTATACTTACCAGAATATTAAACACTTTAAAAACTTTTTGAAAACAAATTTCAATTATTCCGTCTTTTACTCTATTTGAAATTCAAAATTAAATTTTTAAATATATTCATAAACCTATTATTTATTTTTTTCCTTATATAATATAATCTAAATTTGGTTATTAGATTTTTACATTCAAACATTTAAAAGAAAAGACCACGGACATATTTTTTGGTTACATTTCATTTAATCTTAACTTCCATATAATCGCATTCCTAACAAACTAATTAGTGTAATATTTTTTTATCCACATTTATATAATCAGATTTTTTAAAACATAATTAATATAATATTTTAACTAATTAATCATTTGTATAACTTGATTTATCTCATTAACAAACTTGCCAAGTTTTTCCAAAACTAAAAAAAAAAATTGGATGATTTTGGTTTGTATAAAAATAAAAATAGCTTTATTTTAAAGTCTTGATTCTTTCCATTATTTTTTGTACATTAACAATCATATATTGAATAATTGATTTTAAAAAAAAAAAATAAAAAATGTAAGATTTAATAATATTCCTTAAGTAAAAATATTGTATAAAGAGAAATGTTTAATAATATATTTTTTTTTTATTTTTTGTACTTATTTATTTCTATAATAAATGAGATGTGATAAATATAAAGAATTATATTCAAAATAAAGTCTAAAAAAAAATTAAAATATGAGCTACTCCGTGCATCGCACGGATATACACTAGTTATTATTATAACAATTATATATGAAATTTTATCGGTTTATTTATGCCATAAAAAATTATTAAAAAAATTAATTGCTTATCTTTGTTTATTTGTATTTCCGGTGATGGAAAAGTGAGAGTTCCCTAAAGTGATGGTAATGTAAATGGATCGTCCTATTTATGCATAAATTAAGCTGGCATACTACAAATAGAGCACTCTTTTTGCAGTACACTACATAATAATGATGATGGGTTAATTTCGGATGGAATCTGGACCTACTGATGCCAATGCGAGATCTATTTAGTTGCTGCATTGATGCCATAAATATTTTTCTAACCACTTATTTTGATAGATCTCTGAAGAAGATGAGTGGGCCCCACGCCTCACCTCAGACCTCACAATGAAGGGTGAACAAAATCGAGCCTAAACCAGAAAATCAAGCCGAAACTTGCAATTCGGTGCGATTCGGTTCGGGTTTTTTAATGTAATTTTTTTTTTCGGTTTTTCCTTTCATTGCGGTTGCGGTTGCGGTTATAGTTTTTCATAAGTTCCACTTTCGGTTTTTGTTCCCAAGGGCAGTTATTTTTGCTGCCAATATTTTTTTCTGATTTTAGTAACTTTTCTAACACCATTTCACCTTATATTTAGACCTCTCTTGATTTAAATGCAAAAAAAAAAAAAAAAATGAAATAGGAAAATGTGTCGTTTGAAATTCTTAAACGGTTACAACCAAACATAAATGTGAGATTTAATTTAATGATAATTTTACCTGGACAAAAATGCGGTTAGGTTGAGAAACCGTCTTGAGAAGATAGTCGGCCGCCCAGCGGACGGCAACGAGGGCGTTCCTCATCTCCGGCGGCGGCATACACTCCCCGAACTCCACCACGCTCCACGCCAGCATCGTGGTGGTGAAAGCCATCGGGAAATTGAACTTCACGTTGTCGCCAGCGTCGTAGTAGCCGCCTGTGAGGTCAGCCATCACCGGCCACCCGTCGCCCAGCCCCGAGTGGCCGCGCCACGCCACTCGCTGGTCCGCCGGCAGGTACCCCGACCGCTGCCCCTCGTAGAACAGTATCGATTTCGACAATGCATCCGCGTAGTCGTGATAGCCCGCGCTCAAATTTGGGAATTGCGCCAGTATTAGTACAAACTGAGCGCAAAACAACTTCATTGGTTTTAATACGTTTTTCTTTTAGTTGGTGTTTGGTTTTTGTAGATGTGGAATGTGAGCAGACTGTGTACTAATAGTGGGTGCAGTTAAGGCCCGTGCGGTTGTGTGCGTGTAGTGTACTAGAGCATCTCCGTGAATTGTTGTCTATATTACAATTAAATATTAGCGCTTTTGTCTACGTGGACATAATTGGAAGTCATGTTGATAAATAACTATCTATGGACAAATGTATAAATAACTTTTGTGGGAGAGTTTTGCCGCCCTTGTGTTCCTACCCGGCTCGATTCCAGATTAGTCGGTTCTCTCTGTGGATCCGGAAACCGGAAGGTTCCTGTACAAAAAAAAAATTAACGGAAAGAAATATTTTTCATAAGTTATTTTTGAGCATATATATATATAGTTTATAGGTTATGGCTTATAACTGAATGGCTAGTTCATATGATAAAAGTGGCTGGTACAATTAATTAATAAACTGGCTGAAATAAAATTTTCAACTAGTTTATTTGAAAAACTACTCAAAGATGTTTATGAGATAAACTCGAGTTTTTTTTAAAAAAAAATTTGTCCTACCAAATGAAACTTATTTGAATACATGAAACTTATAATCTAATCAAATAAACTGTAAGCTAGCTTATTTATTTACGAAATATAGCCTAATTAAAGCGTGCTTGCAGACAAATTTTTCAAAAAAAAAAAAACAATTATTTTTGACCAATTATTCTTTTAACTCAAATCTAACTTAATTTTAACTCAACTTCACTATCATCAATATTATCAAGGTAATTAAATAATAGAAATCAATTATTCTTACACATGATATTAGTTCTAATTCACCATTCATCCACTCACATAATTTTAATAAGTCGTCATTTCACATCATAACATACTTTTATATCAAATCAATTTCAATTATTTAATTTTGAATAATAATTTTATATAAACTCAAAATCTCTTTAACGATTAATCATATTACATTTTTTAAAATTAACCAAACAAAATAAAAAAATTCACACAAAGGAAAAGAATCTTATATCCAAGTCCCCAAAGTATGGGCTCAAATTTAAGTTATTTTCAAGTTTTGGGGTATTAGGTTGAAAATGATATATATTTTATAAAATTAAAATATAATATTTATTTGTATAAATATGTATTTTTATTTGTATAATCTGACTAGTTGACATGTTCAATGTTATTATACAAGAAGTTGTGATATAATTTTAATATTTATTTTTTATTTTGAGATTGGTGAAGAAAATAGTAAATGAATAAATGAGAGGAAATAGCAAGAGACAATATGTATTAAGTTGTATAAATATGTATTAATTAATGATTTCTTTCTAAGACATGAGACAATAGAATAATATGCAATTGCAACCCGATGTTAGAGAAACATTAATCAAAATAATCTACAACATTGGATATCACAACTTCGAACAAATCAAAATAATTCCTAATATTGGATATCACAACTTAGAACACAATGTGTGATATATAGCGTTGTGTAGGATTATGAGATGTTTTGTTTAGCTCATAAATTTAAATGAATTATTGTTTAGGCCAAATACTTCCTGCTTGCTTTTTATTGCGTGCTACGCTACAAGACATTTGAGTTTCACGGGCGAGAATGGAAAGTGAATAGGCACCGACATATAAAAATCACATGCCTGATGAAATGTGACTCTCATTACTCCACCATTAACCGCTGGATTTATATGTGCACCATTTTCTTAGGTGTCACTATATACCGCCCCTCTTATTACTATTTATATCCCTTTAAAATGAGAGTTTTACCTTTTTCAATTTCTTTTGGATGCCGGCCGGCCGCTAATCGCGGCCGCAAATCGCTCGGCTGGTCGACTAAGGCGGCAACCTCTCGCCCAGCCGGCCTAAGGTTGGACCGGCCACTCCTAAGGCCAGCCTTCCATGGAGGCCAGCCGTTCCCTTTTCGGCCAGCGGCCGGCCAATTTTTTTTAATGATTTAAATATTTTAAAAAATATATAATTTTTTATTATTATTAAATATTAGAGAAATCGATTAATAATTATTAATAGAAGTTGCTACTTGCTACAACAATTATAGTCATTTCTTGCCTTTCATTGAAATTTCTCATTTAATGTGGGATAATTGCAAATCAATGTTTTCAGTCTCCCAACCTTTTATAGCCACTTTTGACCTTTATTATTGTGTTTGTAATCGACGTTGGATTGTCCCAGACCTCTAACCTTTTAAAGCAACTTTTTGCATTCTCTTTTGCTTTCAAAATCAATGTGGGACTAATGATCCATGTTTTAACACATTTTCACTATGTATGTCAAGATGAATATCACATAATCACCAATTAACCTTATTATCTTAAATTGATAAATGATTAAATTTAACTAGATGAACATGAAATATGGAAAAACATTATGTGCTTTTACATAATAAAAGAAAATGCATTTATCATCCTACTTTAATTTTTTTTTTCTTTTTGTTAGTGAAGTAAAAAATATTTAAATATTATAGATATATATAAGTTACTATTCGTTAGTTTAAGTATTTGAATGTTTTGAATTGTATAAATATTTAATTAACAAAATTTTATATATAAATTTTATCATATAAAATATTATATATATATATATGCTTAAAACTAAAAATTAAATATCGGACCAACCGGTTCAACATTGGTCGAACCATTGAACCAGTAGCTAGACCGGTTCGATGACCGTCCGATTTTCAGAACTTTGGTTATAATTAATATTATGTATATATTAGTGAAAGTATAATCAGTATTGTAATATAATTATGCCACACGAGTTTATCTTGATTTTTTTATATCAAAATTTTATTTATTATATAAATTATATTAGAATTTAGATATTATGTTATAAACAAGAATTCATTATCTTATAGTTAGAAATTTAGAAATTATTATATTAAAAATTCACTATAAAAAAAATAGAGTTCTAGTGAAAAATTTATTTTTTTGTCACTATATCTACAGTTGTTGTCTTTTTTTTCGAAACGATAGAAATTGATATAACGAAAAGGCACAAAAGTGCACAACCCATAACTGAATAAACAACTACCAACTAAAAACTGAGAGGACAGGTCAGAAGACAACCTAGAGCCTCAACTAGCCACGCTAGAATAAAAACAGACACAAAAATACAAACAACAACTACTACCAACAACTAGAATCGCTATTCACAGGAGAATAGGATCGGACCCCACGAGGTAATCAAACACAAGGGCCAACGGCCCAGACCAAAAAAAACAATCCTAAACAACACTGAAAACATAACACAAACCAACCAAAACTAAAACATAAACAAAATAAATCGAGAGCCCTTCCCACAACAGAAAACCACATCGAGCACAACAATGGCAAAGACTCGGTCCAAGATCCCGACCCAGAAACTGCCAGAACGCCTAACTAAGTCGAGAACCAACGGACCTAATCCTTGTCCAGACGAACAACAACACTGACGCCCTGGAGACATAGTGTAATGCCCCAGTCTTATTAATAAAGGAAAATACTAGCTTCCGGATATAAGCTAACCTTTACTAATAAATGCTCAGTATTAGTACTCGAGCTTAAGTTATTCAGCTAGTTAAGTTTCAAGTTCGACGTTAAGTCGAAAATAAATTCAGTTAATTTTATTTATTAATCGAGTTAATTCTAGAAATTAATCTGAGTCCGTTTATTTGATAAATGGACATTAGTAAGTTCAGGGTTAGTTATTCTAGTGTTGACGTACTAATCGAATTTGAGAATATTCGATTAATCGTAAAAAATGAGTTTCGAGCCCAATTAATAAGTTATTCGGATATAAGTTCGACTTTAAGTAAAAAAATCTATTTGGTTTAATTTATATTCAATAACCGAGTTAGTTCCGATAATTAGTTCCGAAACGTTTATTTTATAAATGTTTAGTCAAGATTAATTATTTGAAATCAAGAGTATTCGAATTAATTTTCGAAGTCAAGTTCCGACCGAAATTAAGTAAATTCGGTCAAAATCAAATATTAAGCCAAGGTATATTATGTTAAGTCATGGTGTTTAATTAAGCCAAAGCATAAAGCTTAAGCCATGCACGTGCATTTAGCATTTCCGTGCACCACCGTGCGCGTGTTCGTGCGTGCCGGCCATGGCATTGCAGTGCGCTATGCACATTACCGTGTGTGTGTGTATGCGCGCGCACCATCCATCTGTTGGTGTTATATACTTAAGCTTTGCTTTAGTGGATATTACACTTGTTATTTCTTGATGAATGAGAATTATGTTTGGTTAAATAAGTTCCACTTTTTATTGTTTTGCATGTAGATAAGTGGGTCGTCATCGGGCGTACCGAAGATCACTATATCAGTTACTTGCAAAACAAGAATCATTGGTTCACAACCTAGATGGAATTGAACAACCCATCGGAACGGTTGTAGTGTCAACCGTACGGCTTGTCTTGACCGATTAGTTGCACTAGTACATTTATGTATTGAACAGGATCCCAGAGAGGGATGTTCGTTTTATACTGATCATCGTAAACGAACTAGGCCTCAGTTAATTATTGCGTGCTCTTAACCCGTAAGATATTAAATAGGCATGTGCACATAATTGTTGTTGCTTAAATTCTTTGGGTGAGATCCAAGTCGGGTCGACATACTTAATGAATTGGGTAATGACATTATGTGTTCGATGTGCTATTA